ATAGAGGGACCTGTGAGCAGCAGTGCTGCTCTCTTGGGGGTGAGGAGGGACGGTGGACGTCAGGGCACGTGTCAGGAGGAGCTGCACGGAGCAGGGGGCTGAGCACAGCAGGGCAGGAGCTGCAGTGGCTGTAGGGAGAGGCAGCAAAGCACAAAGCCATGGGCTGTGCCTGGCTAAGGTGCCTGGGATCACTGCCTTGGGTGGAAGAACTCAGGGTGTCTCTGTGGGCCAGGGGAGACACTGTGTGTCTCTAATGCTCCTCCCAATTTAGAATCCTCCCGAATGGCAGTTTGCAGCTCATTTGTCTCTTCCTGACTCAGTGGGCAATGTCAGCAGGTGGAACAACAATGGGAACAACCCATTTCACTGCTGCTGAGCACCCTTTAGCCCAGGTAGCCTTTGGGGCTTGGTGTGCATCTCTGGAGACTTCCAGAGATCAAACTTATGAAGGTCTCCAAGCTCTGGTGAGCCCAGGTAGAAGCTGTTCCAGGAGTCATTTCCATACAGTTAAAAATAGAGCAGTTCAGTGTCTCTGCTGGTCACTGCCTGAACTGCAGCTCGGGCTGGGACACGGTTCTTGTGTGGTCAGTAAAGGCCGTGTTCCTGCTCTCTGAACTCACCCCCCTTCCTCTTGCTCTGTTCTGCCCTAGGATGGGCCTGGTTTCTACACCACCAGGTGTCTGGGGCCAATGCTGGCTGAAGTGATCCGAGTTCTCCAGGTGGGTATTCAGTCATTCCTGAGCGTCCAGCAAACCCGTTGTCCTCGGGTCCTGCCTGGGGACATGTGGGCTGTCAGGAGGCTCAGTCACATACAGTATCTGGCTTTGAAAACACCCAGGCTACGTGTGTGGCAGGGACTGAATTGCAGTTGCAAGGGTGCCCCTTTGCTGCGAGACACATGAAACGGGCACTGCCCGTCCACAGGGCAGCTCTCCCTGAGCCTCAAGCTGCCTTCCCTGTCAAAACAGCCTGGATCTGCAAAGCAGAGAGCAGCGTTTTCAAACAGCACCTCGCAGGGAAGAGCCCTGTCCTGCCCGGGCCTGGTGCCATCTGTAAGAAACTTCCAAACTGCTTGGTTGGCAGGTGCCCAGGGGCCACCAGCCCATTTCCAAGTCAACAAGTGGCCCCAGAGAGGGGAGGCCCCTCATCCAGAATCCCAGAATGGCTGAGGTTGGCAGGGACCTCCAGGGATCATCCACTGCAACCCCTGCTCCAGCAGGGACACCCAGAGCACGGGGCACAGGGGGCATCCAGGCGGGTTGGACATCTCCAGAGAAGGAGCCTCCACAGCCTCTGTGGGCAGCCTGTGCCAGGGCTCCAGACTGATGTTCCTGCTTCTGCTCCTGCAGGAGGGGATCGATCCAAAGAAAGCGGACGCCATCTCCACGGCCTTCGGCTTCCCCGTGGGTGCCGTCACGCTCATGGATGAAGTGGGGGTGGATGTGGCTGCGCACGTGGCCGAGGACCTCGGCAAGGCCTTTGGCGAGCGGTTCGGAGGAGGCAACGTCGAGATGTTGAAGACCATGTTGGACAAGGGCTTCCAAGGTGAGACACCAGGCTGGTGTAAACCAGCATTTAAACCATCACTGAAGGAAGAGTGCCAGCATCCATCGGACTCCTCTGCCCCAGGCGAGGGAGAAGCCAGAGGCACAGTCATAGAATCATAGAATGCTTACGGTTGGAAGGGACCTCTAG